TTGCTTCAAAACAAAAAAAATCAGGTCTCACAAAATAAAGCTTTGTGTAGTGTATGAATAACCGGGACGTTACACATTCAATTTTCCTTTTTCAATTTTCATTAGATAATAGAATATAAGATTGCGCCGTGTTTCCCGTTGACATTTGTGTACCACAAGTAAACAAAGAATAGAGAGAAAAGAAGAACGAGTTGAAACTGCCAAATCCAGTTCACTTTACAGCGAAAAACGTGTTTTAGTTTTTCTAAATGTGAAAATATTGCATTTTCCACCTAATCTATTAGAGAATAAGGGCCGGTTACTCAATGTCTGGTTAACACTAATCCGCGGTTAAACATCGTTATCGACGTCTTCGGCTCCATGCATACAATAGGGAGTCGGTAACATCGATAACTATGTTTAATCGGATATAAGTGTTAACCAGACATTGAGTAACCGGCCCTAAGTAACGTTTTAGGGTAAAAGTGCACTATAGCGAAAGTAGGGCAAAATTGATGAAACAATTCAAGAGGGGTATCCATCGACGCTAATCTGCGGTTAAACATCGTGATCGACGTTACCAACTCCCTGTTGTATGCATGGAGTCGAAGACGTCGATAACGATGTTTAACCGCAGATTAGTGTTAACCAGACATTGAGTAACCGGCCCTTAATGCGAACAACAATAATCCGAGACCGGAAATTCACATTTTTAATTCATTAAAGAGTTATTCGCAAAAAACACTTGCACTTTTCGCACTATGTTTTGATGAATTTGACGCAAATAAATGGAGTAAATGAACTCAACTGAACACATATTCATTAGTTTTTATATATTTGTGATGTTTTAATTGTACACTTTCGCGAAATTCTGTATTTATTAGCAATATTCCGATGGTGAAAATCCGCACAACAATCTTGCGTAGTTAATATAAATAACATGGAGGAAAACTAGTGTTGCCACTCTATTAAAAATAAAATGGAACTAAATTGCTGCTGCCACTCTATTAAAAAAGTTTTTGGGCATCCAACTCCTTTTTGCATAGGCGGCCTTCGGCCACGCTTAGGGATTATAACCCTCACAACGTAGAATTCTCCTTTCTGTGTTGCCAAAGAAAAGGGGCAGAACACATTTTGCAGAGAACACCTTTCTGCGTAGGCGGCCTTCGGCCACGCTTAGAGATTAAAACCCTCACTACGTAGAATTCTCCTTTCTGCGTGCGAAGAAAAGGACCAGAAATCCCCTTTTCACAAAAGTATATTTCTTGTGCATTATTTGGGTGTTTTTAAAGTTGAAATACAAATT